AGGAGGGGCACAGGGGCCCCTGGGGAGTGACTGCATGTGAGAGGGTCCCTGAGCGCTTGGGAAGGACACCTCCTGTCTGCAAGGCCTCAGGCAATCCTGGAGGCATGTCCACACGTGTTAGAGCTAACCGCAGCACGTGGCAATGATCTGAAATGATCAGAAAGATAAACATGGAAAATAAACAGAAGTAACATGGAAATAACAGAGTAAGTCCTTAAACACGTACAATCACAGAGTTTTAATAAGTAAGTTCTTGGAAGCTATAAACCGTACTCTAACTCATAGCATGAAATAGTTTGTGATCCAGGAAAATCACCATCATTTGAAGAGATATAAATAACTAATCTCTAAATAATTAAATTAACATTTATTTGGTATTCAAACCATCCCTCCAGCTTGGATTATTTTGTTATTCACATTATAGCAGACTTTGGTAATTATTGGGGAACATACACATTCACCTGGTTCAATAGGGCTTCCCCATGACCTCTGGCCTGTTGACCTCTGTTAAAGGGCAACGGAAGGAGTCCTCGAAGCCGCATCCCTGACTCTGTCCTCGGCTGGCTGGTCCCTGCAGCAGCTCTCCCTGTGCAATGAGGACGTGCCTCCCGCCTCCCAGCGCCATGGGCATTCAGCTCCTTTCTGGGACGCAGACCGGAAGGCCGAACCTGTGTGCTGGGGCCTTGCCAGCTGCCACCAGACAGCGGCCCCGGCTTTGGACCCAGCTCCTCCAGTCTCTGCTTGCGGCTGTGGGGAAGTTTCTATCAGACTGAGGCCAGTTTGCTCATCTGTGAAATGGGGCCCCATGCACCCACCACATACAGAGCTGTAAGGTAACAGAGCCGGGAGCTGCAGAGCACTGACCACTGAGCCTGCAGTGGCACAGATGCCCCAAGGCTGGTGTTCTCCCCTCCAGTCCATGAAAAAGGAAGAGAACACAGTTCCAAAGAAACACACAGACCCAGGAGCAGGGCGCTCTGCAGGCAAACTGGGAGGGGGGAGCCTGTTCTCAGTAGGGCCCTACTTTCCTCTTGCTTCTTTTCTTTCCCTGCCACCCAGCTTCAGGACCCCGTGCTTCGTGTCGGGTGCGTCTATCCCTGGTTG